TTGACTAATTTGCAAGACGATTACGTGAAAGAACAGAGAATGAGAGAGAGAAAACAGTAAGAGAGAAAAAATTAATCCATGCTACGGACAGTCATTGTATGCTACCACATAACGTTGCTTTATATGTAAGATTTTTACATGAAAAGTTGTATCGAAGAGAAATCATCTAAATAAGATAGATGTGACTTTGCAAGTCGTAAAGTTTCGGAAAATTTTTCAGGTTGATCTAATATCCCGAATTGCATTCCCAACTTTCTTCATTGTCTTTCACATCGTCTACTGGACTGTTTATTTGTATTTGTGAAATTAAATCCTCCAACTATGACTTTGTTTTTCTTGTACAGATTGTTGGCTTGATGAGGCACTCACTTTCAGTTCTTAGTAGGAAGTCCGATCCCGTCACTCAGAAAACCAGTCCTTCTACGATTCGCTAGTAAACTGCTGCTGGCACATGCAAAAACGTACCACAGCCGCTTTCGTTTGATTTTAAGCAAAGTGTAGAACAGTTACCGTCCATCTCGCCAGAGAATGGTCACTCTAGACAAAGTGTCATCATACCGGTCACTTGCAAGTGCCTTCATCCCTCAAAGGGAGTGAATTGTTGGGCAGGGGAGAGGGCAGTTTGACTTTTGACATAAATTGTTTATGTACAGTGAATGTTTTTGTACTTTGAGTTTTAATAAAAATGCATGAATGGCCTCATAACACAGAAGTCTTGGCACAAAGTTTAAGAGCTGAATGTTTCGGTCCATTAATTTGCGTACCAGCCAGTATGACACCCATTAGACAATACTCGCCCATATTCTACTTTGATAAATAAAAAGCCCGATGCAGATTACTAAGCATAAAAGCCTAAATTTCGTTACGAAAATGCAAAAAATCCCCGAACGCGTTGGACCCTTTTTATCACAAAAGTGGAAAAAAAAAAATACTGCATTTAAACGAACCTGGCTCCGACACGGATTTTGCCTTTAAATTTATCGCATTTTCTTATTTTAGTGCCTCACACTTTGCTTATCTCAAATATTTATCAACAGGAAGAAAACATGAATACACAAATATTCCCCTTAATGCAAATCCAAGAGTACAGACCTACAATTATTAAGGACAAATAAAAGAACAAGTGCAATAAAATAGTTACAAGATTAAGAGGGAAAATATCATCATTTCCGACTAAGAAAATAAGACTCCTGCAACAACAGCAACGCTCTTCATATCCAAGGGAACACTAGGCAATTTCTATTATTACAAATCGTTTCAGATTTTCTTGATTTTAATTTCCTATGAATTTTCGGTGGTCCAAAGAACATCGTCTCCAGCACAAGAACCGTCTGAGTTGAGGGTGCAAAAACTGTACCGCTGCGGATCAAATTTTACAGGGCAAATGCTCTTGTTAGGAAAAATTCGAATTTGTTGTATGAATATCAATTTTTGTAAAAAAGAAAAACTACAACGATGATTCCGATGTCGAGAGCCTTTTCAAATATTGGAAGCGTTTTTCCAGGATTTTTGCAAAAGCGGTCAGGAATAAAAAAACCAACACGTTTTGAGAAGCGAAAAGAAAAAAAGTGCGTAGTTTTTGCGAATACACAATGAACGTACGAGAACAAAGCAAAGAAATTGCTTATCAGAGGAACCTGAGAGGGGAAAAGATACAGTAATCACAAAACTTCTCAAATTATCAATGTGGAAATAAAATGTAAAGGCCATTAGCCATCATCACCGGTATAAATCAAAACTGAGACGATGCAGAGGCAGCTGATACAAATTAAGATTATCTAGTAAAAGTCACAAATATGCAAATTCAGAAAGCAGTCTGCAAAATTTTTTAAGGTTTTTCGTCCCATTTTTTCGCCTAGCTATTTTTCTCCCAAAAAATTTCGGAATTTTAAAACTCGATTTTTCCCCCAAAAATCTCAGGCTGAAGTTACGGCCAGCAATAAAGTACTCATCCTTTAAAAAAACTACGATTTTTACAATGAGCATGAAAAGAAA